TACTACTACTACTCTCTCTCTCTCTCTCTCTCTCTCTCTCTCTCTCTCTCTCTCTCTCTCTCTCTCTCTCTCTCTCTCTCTCTCTCTCTCTCTCTCTCTCTTAACAACGTCGAGATTATACGCCACGTTCGTTCATCCTCTTCCTTCGTTTACAGATTGGAATCGAACAAGGACGTAGCCGATATAAAGCTCTCTCAACACCTCGACTACGAGAGCAACACGCAGTACACATTGATCGTGCGCGTGCAAAATAAATATCAGTTAGCAGCCGAGACAACGGTGGTTATAGAGGTGTTAGACGTCAACGACAATATACCGGTGTTTCGCGAGATGAAGAAGGGCAGCGTACTCGAGAACGAGCCGCCAGGAGTTCCTGTGATGCAAGTGCGCGCCATAGACGCCGATGGGACTTCAGCTCACAATCAGGTTCCACTCATTCATTCGTCCCCCCCCCCTCCCCTTTTTCTCTCCTTTCATTATTCTTCTTCTTCTGAACCGAGAATATTCTCTGACTTTTGTTTTTATTTTTTTTTAGGTTACGTACGAGTTGGACAACTTTAGAGATCTTTTCGCAATCGACAAGTACACCGGGAACATCACCACGTTGACCACGTTTGACAGAGAGGACGAGGATACGTACAACGTGAAGGTTATCGCGGTAGACAATTCCCCTAGCGCCCTTTTCAAGACGGGAGAGCATAACAAGGGTCAGCAAGTGTTCAGGATCGAGATCGCGGATAAAAACGACAATGCTCCTCACTTTACGCAAGCTGTATACACCGCGAATTCGATCCTCGAGAATGCCAACATAAACGAGGCGGTCACAGAGGTGAAGGCCCTCGATTCCGACACTGCCAGTCCGGTAACATACAGTATTATATTCGGAAACACCGACGACAGCTTTTATATCGAAGACACGACTGGTAAGATTCGTGTGAAGAAACCTTTGGATTACGAGAAAATCACGGAATACAACTTAACCGTTAGAGCGTTCGACGGGTTGTACAATGACACTGCGCAAGTAAAGATTTTCATAGAGAACGTGAACGATAATCCGCCAGTTTTCGAAGACTTTAACAAGAATCCTACTATAGAGGAGGAAAAACTGGTAGAAGGTGGGTGAAACTTTCAAAGTCATCGGGTTATTTAATAATAAAGGACCACTCGTGATGATAAACAAATGACTTCACCTCGTTGTTGTAGGTTGTATCACCACCGTGGTCGCTTACGATCCTGATATCACGGACAGAAATGCTGATCAGCATATTGCTTACGCTATTGTGAAAGAGGACCAGCAACCGTTGATCGGCATTGATAAATCTGGTTGTATAACGTTGAAGAAACCTCTCGATCGGGATCCACCTTTAGGATATCCCATGTGGACGGTAAATTTTTTATTCCCCTCACCGCTTCACAGAATTATAACACGCGATTCGATGCTTTTAGGTGATTGTAATGGCTCGAGACGAGGATGGATCCCCGACTGCGTTACGAGAACTGGTAATGGTGAATATCACGCTGATCGATATAAACGACAACGCGCCGTTCCTCGATATGCCGTATCCGGTTGTTTGGGGCGAGAACAAGCCTCCCGGAAGGATAACGGAACTGAAAGCTCGGGATTGGGACTCGGAAGAGAACGGCCACCTTTTCACTTCCAAATCGACAAGAATACAGCCGACGATGAGATTCAGGCGAAATTCGCAATTCGAGATGCCGAATTGTTCGCACGAGTCGAGTTTAATCGAGAGGAGCGAAAGAGTTACGATATCCCGATCGCTATCACGGATAGCGGTACACCACCGATGACGGGAACATCGACTTTGACCATGATAATCGGGGACGAGAACGATAATCCGATGTCGGAAGGCTCGAGCTCGATATTCGTTTATAATTACAAGGGCGAAGCGCCGAAAACGGAGATCGGCCGAGTGTACGTGAATGATCCGGATGACTGGGATTTGCCTGATAAACATTTTGCCTGGGCCTCGACCCATGAAGGATTTTTGTTAAATCAAGATACCGGCATGATCACGCTTCTGCCGGGTATCTCGAACGACACGTTTGTCCTCAAGTTTATAGTGACCGAACAGAGTTCGTATATTCCACGGCATCAAGTGAACGCGTACGTGAACGTCACTGTGAAAGAATTGCCCGAAGAAGCGGTGGAGAGATCGGGCTCCGTGCGTTTCTTTGGAATGACCGCGCATGATTTTGTCGCGCCCGATGATGAAAGCGGTATCAGCAAAAAGGAATATTTCAAGAAAGAATCGCCGACATGCTTAACACCTCGGTGGAGAACGTGGATGTATTCACGGTGCTTCACTCGCCTCATCATAACAACGAGAGTTTGTTAGACGTGCGTTTCTCGGCGCATGGCAGTCCGTATTACGCTCCCGAGAAATTGAACACGATTTTGGCCCAGCATGCGAAAGAAATTGAGCGAGAGCTAAAGACCGATATTCTTCTTGTCAACATTGACGAGTGTCTGTTCGAGAAACAGTATTGCAACAATAGTTGCCGTAGCTATCTGAATGCAAGCACAGTTCCATATCCAGTTTATACGAATACGAGTACGTTCGTTGGCGTACGAGCGATCGTAGATCCACAGTGCACTTGTCACGTGTACGAACCAATAGTTTGTCTGAATGGAGGCACGCCGTTGGCTGACCGATGCGAGTGTCCACCTGGTCTCGAAGGACCAAGATGCGAGCTTCTCGGCATTGGATTTCACGGAGATGGCTGGGCCGTAATGCCACCGCCTGGTCAAGCTTGCGACGACTCTCACCTGGGTTTGTTTCCTCTTCGCTGTTTCTTATTTATTTCAACATCGAACTTATTCATCACGTGAATTCGTTTCTATTTCAGGTCTCGAGATAACGCCTCATATGGACAACGGTCTTGTGTTCTATTTTGGTCCAATGACATATAGCCCGAAGATGAAAATTCAAGATTTTATGGCTTTGGAGCTACAACAAGGATATGCTGTTCTTTACATGGATTATGGAACTGGCACTGTGCGACTCGATCAACGGCATATCAAACTCACTGATGGCAAAAGTCACAAGATAGATATTTATTTTACGAAGAATGTAAATTTCTTCCTACTTTTATCGCCATCGTGTTATTGTTTTGTATCAATCCTTTCTTTTTTTTTAAAATCTATTTTTTATTCTAGGCGATTGAGATGAAGGTAGACAATTGTGGAATTTCGGCTTGCATTAGTTTAACCCCACCGCAAGGACCAAACGAGCTCTTGAATGTCAATAGTCCGATGCAAATCGGTGGAACTTTAATTAATCTTGCACAACTAGGCTCGCAATTGGGATGGGATTTTAAACCTACTAATAAGGGATTCGTTGGATGTATACGCAACATGACTTTCAATGGAAATGTAATGTCTTATAAAAAAGAATGATTAAAAAATGGCCAAATTTTAAGTTTAAAATATAAATATTAATATTTTGCATTAAAATAATGTTTGAATTTTTACATTTTATGCATTTATTTTAAAGTTTTATTTAATTTTTATTTAGAAAAATTAATATTTTAAGCTACTCTAAATTTGGAGATTTTTGATCATTCTCGTTTTTCTAAAATCTTCTTTGAATCCATTAAATTGTTCTCACTTATCGATTTTACATATTTCAGACGTATAACTTGGGAATGCCATCATTATCTAGAAATGCGGATCCCGGTTGCGATCATGGAATGGCAAAGGCCGTTTCCTTCGGAATTGACACCAATTTTCTTGTCGCAATTTTAGTTTGCATTGCAATTTTATTGATATTGTTGCTAGCAGTAGTAGTACACAGACGGAAAACTGATGATCTTTACAAGGATATGGACGACATAAGAGAGAACATAATCAATTATGAGGACGAAGGAGGCGGTGAGGTAGATACAGGTTACGATTTAAATGTTCTTCGAACGATTTATGATGCTCCGCCTATCGATTCAAAAATACCACCGGTTGGCATGAAAACAAGAGGTAAGATATCAAGTGAATCCGATATCTAAATATGTATTCGTATAATATATATTTGATAAGAATGAAAAGAATAAGTGATTGTTTAAAAAATATATATATAAGAATAAAAAATAAAATACGTTCACGTTCGTATTTTGTTCTTCAAGGGTCTGACGAAGTACCAGACATTTGCGGTTTCCTAGATGGCAAGAAAGAAAGCTGTGACAAGGATCCCGATACAAATCCATTTGACGATGTTAGGCATTATGCTTATGAAGGGGAAGGCAATTCAGAGGGTTCCTTGTCGTCTTTGGCTTCTTGTATGTATATAAATAATACATCATATTATGATCATCGATAATCATTCTTTTACGATGTTTTTTCTTGCCAGGCACTGACGACGGAGATCTCAAGTTCAATTATTTATCGAATTTTGGACCGAGATTCCGAAAATTAGCCGACATGTACGGAGAAGAACCTAGCGATGAGGAGAGTGACGGTGTCGGAGAACGAGAAAGCGAGAGCTGGTGTTGAGGCTTATATCGAACTCGAACCGTTCATATCAATTGATTCAACTAGTTTCAACTCTCTGACGAAGCTATATTACTTCGTCATTTCGTGTACTTAATTCGGATTCGAGAATATCTAATGTTCTCTGCTCCCGATACAAGGACACAGCTGATTCGTGACAACGATGGTCACATATTATTTAGATATAATCGAACCATCTTCTTTTGTTTTGTTTTTTTTTATTTGTTAAATTTTTTTTCCTATTTTTCTCTTTTATTGGAGCAAATCGCTCTCGACTTACAACATGTAGAAAACAAAATTTGCTGGATGTTTTTGAAGATTTATTGTACGATAACTTGCAACACTGTGAAAGATAATGAACATGATTTTAAACACACACCAAGTTGCAACGAGAGCTTAAGAAAATAGGAAACAAAGATGATAAGATATTCTTTCTTGTTGACACGAAAATAAAAGAAAGAAAACATAATGGCAATGAAAATCAACGCATCAGCGAGGACGACTATCGCGAATATTTATTCGCGTTGCATCACGACGATGGACACGCGCAATTTGTTCATTGCAACTGTTATTCCGTGCGTGCATTCCACTAGTAACGAATGAAACAATTTTCAGTGTAAAACAATCGCGAAGATCTCTTTTTCAGAGAACGAAAATGCATAAGAGCTCGTAATTTCTTTAAGCAATCATTCAAGTTACGAGGTCTGGACTTATTTTTTTATACATATGTAATAGGATAAATATATATATATATATATGTGTATGTATGTATGTGCGCGCGTATGTGTGTGTGTGTAATGTATGAATGCATATCTGCCTATGTCATGAGAATATTGTGAACAGAAGTATGTAAAGTATCGACGAAAAATAAAACGAATGAAATGTAACGATACTTGGAAGAAAAAAGGACGAGAAAAAGACGAAACAAAGATAGCGAGAGCGATGTCGCTCTGCTATATGTATATTTAACTTATAGACTATTTTATTAACCGGTTAATTAACGTGCGCGCGAATGTGATGAGAAATCGTGTATGCGAAACTTTATATGCGAATACACATATAAATAAATATCGAATATATACTGTGCGCGTGTACGTAAGCCAACATGATTGATGTAGAATGACGTGTGCGTGCGATATATATTCTAAAACATGAATGTTCGAGACATAAAATCGAAAAAAATCGGCGAGAAGAGAGCCGAGTGCCATATCGTGCGTCCAACGACTAAGATCTATCCACCGAATTAATCGTACTCGAATACATGGTCGCAACGTTACCGGCGGCAAACGGTTCACAGGCAATTGTTTGTCATTCTCTTCTTTTCGATTGCTGACAAACGCGTATTTGATTGTCACATCTCTCGTCATTTATTTCGTTTCATTCGCGAAAGTAAATTTTTCATGCGTGCGCGCGCTTACGAATATTTCTATGTATATATATATATATATAAAAGAAAATATATATATATGTATGTGTATATATATATATATATCCGTGTACCTATGTAGGCGTTCGCGCACGTACGTACACGTATATATGTGATAATAATTTGTAAGCTTTTTTTACGATAAATCAACCGCGATATGTATAATAATAATGATAATAGTAACAACAACAATAATTAAAAAGATACACAAATCGTATCGATAGATAGAACTGGAATGGGTGTGCATGTGTCTTGGATTTGCGCTTCCCGAGTCGGTCTCAGTGCAACCTTGAAAAATTTTACGTGTAATTTATACGATAAGATAGAATGCAGCTTATATGAAAGCGTGTGATCTCAAGGATCCGTAAGGATAAGTTCTTACGTATCATATCATGAATGGATGCTACTTAGAGGATTTTTTTGCCATCGAACAATTATAATTATAATTCGGAAAGAAACATTTTATCGGAATATTAAAATATGCATCAATGAATATGGACTGTGTTAAACAGGAAGGACGGGCGCGGTTTTTTTTTAACGATACACTCCATCTCAGTACAAAGAACGCCTCCGTCGACGAGCGGTAAATAAGAAATGCGATGTTATCGACTCAATGTTATCGAATTAAACGGCGAAATTTAGTTCGATTTCATATGAAACTTATTTATCGACGATAATAAGAGCGGACTTATTCGCGATATATTAATATTACGTTATTATACTCAAACACTGCCCTTATGTACAACTAAAGAAAAAACAAAGAAGGAAAAGAAAAGTAAAAATATTGTTCCGCAACCGACACGAGGATTATGAATAGATGTTTTAGCCAGAGGTATAAACGCATATACAAGCTTATAAATTATAAGTAAGATTCGCGAAACGGTTATTCGCCCGACCTATTTGACATGTGATAGTTGATCGCAAGATATACACACAGCACATCTTCTTTACTCGCGAAATCCATCTATCGTCGTCGGAGATACATGTAATTTCGTGTTCTTCTTTCTTTTGTAGCAATAATAAAAGACGATGACATTGAAAGAAATTTATAAATCGGAAATTTCCCAAATCATTGAACACCAGTTAATTAATGAAATTCGCAGCAGGCTTCATAGTGACGTTTACTGAACGAGAAAGAAACCTTTGGATCGTTTGATTGCGACATGCTGCCTTTGAAAATCTATCCTTCGACATCGAACGAAGAGAACTTCTTGAGAAGGGGATGCCGATAACCTATAAAACGAGCTTCGGTCTCGTTATCCTGTCATATGTGTTCACATTGCACGGACATCGAGTATCAAATACGAGGACAACTTTTTACGAATCGCGTTGCTTGTTCTATTCGCGATTCTAATCGACGATATGTAAGTGATTATTATATATGCACGTGATCGATCGTGTTTTATCGATTTTTATCATATCTCGATCTCTAATTTATCTATACTATTTGTTTTTTGGTTAATTACATAGGCATCGCAAGCTTCAACTGGGTTTTTTCGCTTTCTCGATTATATTGCTACTATGCTTGATTTTGAATACCGGAGTTGAAGCTCAATTGAATTTTTCGACTGGTTGGGGAAAAAGAAGTCAAAGGATCGGAGTTGTCGAGTGGGGTGTTAGAACCGAGTGTGCTACGCAAGCTAAACCTTCGGTGGAACAATTGCTAAGTGTTTACCATTTGATACAGGTATGCGTCTCTCAACTTGTTTCTTACATTCTCAATAGATTGAATGAGAAAAAAGAACAATTACTGACCGAAAGGTTTGTATTTGATTTACAGATAGAAGCGCGAAAAATGTTGGATTGTCGGAAATTGAACGAGTGAATTTGAGAGTGATTCGATTGATATTAGAGGAAACATCGTAGATTAAACATTGGATTGTTCGAGAAAATCGTTCGAATTGTACGATTTTAACAATTATTGGCTGACTTGTTTGAAAGCATCGGATAACTTATATTAGCTTCACTTCCGGTTCTAGCAAACGAAGAATTGCTTGAAATGTTTTCAATCGCACGAATGTGCCTTATAAAATTATCGATACGAATGATAATATAATAATAATAATAAAGAAGAAATATAATTTCCTTTTATGTCTTCTATATTGTTTTCCTTTAATCATTTATTTATTAATTTATCATTATTTGATGGATTTGCACAAATTTTGCACCATAAACAATTTATTTTTTTTATATTAGAATCGATAGTTATCAAACTATCGAGAATATGAACTACTATTTTTTTAATAGGTATATTCTAATTGCATTTAATTGAAAGTTGATGACAGTTACAAAATGATACACGTAAGTAAAAATCAATTTATTCAGAGAAATTTATTATTATTAAACAATGAATATTTTTAAGATTTTATAGTTTATTTTTTTACCTTAAATTCAAAAAATTATTTATAAAATTTAAATTTTATCTGTAATTTATTAATTTATCTATAATTTTTTATTGTTATAATGATATTTAAAAATGTATATTTTAATCCAATATAATTTTCACAATTTTTATTTATTGCAAAAGTTTTTAAAATTAATTATATATGAATTACAATAATGCGATAATATGATCAAATGAGATTTAATATATCGGACACTTTTTAAATCGATTAATTGTAATCGACTTTTTATATATTCGATATATTTAGTGTTAAATATCGATATATTCATGAATCTAAATACATCAGTATTATATGATTCTGAGTAGCAATACATAATATTATCATGTTTTACAAGTTTCACAAATAATTTCTAGTTCTTTTTTTAAATAAAAATGCGATGAATACGTTATCGTAACATTTATCGAAATCAATATAAAGAGTAATGTCTCTTGATTATATCTTTTTGTAACAATTATAACTTTAAGCAGCTCGAAATAACCTATAAAACATTTCCCCGAGATAATTCAAGTTTACAGAAAAAAAGAAACAATAGCCGGCATCTTTGTATTTCACTCGAAAAAACTTCTTCGAGGATTATCAAATAAAAGCAAAACTAATGATGTATGTGATGCAATATTCCGGTTTATTATCAAAGCAGTTAAGCACGAGTTACATTCGAAACGGAACCAGGTTAGCTTCTTTCGGACAATACAAAAATTATGGAAGATTTCTTCAATACCGCGATAGAGTAGCATTTTGGTTGAAAGAACAACGTGTTCAAGTAACCAGAGCTTGTGCAAGACAATTTGAATTTATCGCTGCACAACGTATTAGGAGAAGCTTGCAAATATTTCATTTATATACACGAATATGGGATGAAGTAGCGCTTAAAGAATTTATAAAAACTTGGAAGCGTCGTACATTAAAAAATGCTAAACATTTTCTAACGAGTAGTATTGGTGTAACAATATATAATTGGGATCGTGAAAGAATAACTGAAGAAGAATTAAATAGGTAAAGTCATTTTTATATTTCTTTTTAAAGATTAAAATTTGCCATAATATTTTTATTATATTGATTATTTTGTTCATTCATATTTTATCCCTCCTTCTTATTAGTTGTACACAGGAAATTGAAGGAATTTATAAATTAAAAGATACTACGGTTATTTGTCAAAAATGTAACCAAAGAATTCTCATAGATAATCCACAACCAGGAATAAACTATTGTACATGTTATGGTGAAAAATTTAGCGCCACTTCTAATGTAGATCGTACGTAACTATTTTCTTCTTTGATTCTTATTTTGTTTTTATAATGAATATATTTATATTTATAACATATAACTAACATATTGTTTCGATTTCAGAGGAAGGTTGGAGACCATATATAGAACGACAAGATATGCTTATTTGGAGAAGAGAAGAACCAAATTTTGGAGGATTGTTTTCATATAAAGTTTATGGTACATTTTCGGATGTTACGGCTGAAGATTTTTTGCAAACTCAAATAGATCTTGAGTACCGAAAAAAGTGGGATGCAACTGCTCGAGAATTACAAGTCGTAGATACTGATCCATCATTACAAAAATCTGATGACAGTGGTATTGATATTATATATTGGGAAACAATATGGCCGGTATGTTATAATCCATGTAACATAATTATTTATACCAATTATTAATTTTATTATTTATTATATATATTGTATATTTTTTGTAATTTTAGAGATTATTTATGAACAGAGACTATGTATATCAACGAAGATGGGTTATTGATAAAGAAAAGCAGTTAATCATAATTATAAGTAAAGTAACAGAACATCCCAATGTGCCTAATAAACCTGGAATATACAGGTATCCTAAGTCCTTTTGAGAATTTTGTCTCATTCTCATTGTAAAACGCGAAACTTATTTATTATATATATAATAAATAAATAAATATATATATATATTTATTATATATATATATATATATATATGTGTGTAAATACATGCATGTTTGCATTGTATATATTAAATTAGTTAATTAGCAATTTTTTAGTTTTATATTCTATTATGTAAAAATATTTGAATTAAACTAAATGTAAAAGAAGAAAGAAAACTTTAAAAGATTTTCTATTAACATTAAATAGAGTCACAACATATTGGTCATATATGGTGATAAGACCTTATACAGAACTTCATCAGCCAGGCATTGAATTTGGCTTAACTTATTTTGATGATCCTGGTGTAAATATTCCATCTACGATTACCTCATGGGTCACAATGACAGGTATATCTTATATATGTTTTAAAAAATTATATAAAAAAGATTTTTTTAATATATATATAACTTCATTATTTTAGGATTGCCAGATTTTCTACTTCGTATGAGGCATGCATCGAAAAATTATCAAAATTATAAGCTTACAAAAGAGAATGCAAATATTTCTACTGCTAATCGCATTCTTGCAAATGATGATATTGTTTCTGAGCATAGTGTGAATGATGAACAAAGTGATAAAGAGAGTGAAGTACTGGATGCTAGAGATACGCAGGAAACTGATCTTATTGAGGAAATCGAAACTTTAACGCTTACAGAAATGGAACAAAGTGATACGAGTGACGTGAGTGACATGAGTGATGAAGATATAGATATAGAAGACTCAACCGACGAAGGCAGGGGTTTATTACGTTATTTTTTTCTTACAAAACTATTTGTTTGACCAATAATTGCAATATATTTGAAATAATGAAATTGGTTTTGGCCAATAGAAAGTCTTTAACATGATGTTGTACGAGCAGAGTGGTAATGTAATCCGTGATCACGATACAAAGATACAGGTAGAAAAGGATACATTGGATCACCGGCGTTACATCAACGATGATATCATACATGAAATATAGAATTTTGATGAAATCAGCATGAAGAATTTTTAAAAATATTTTATTTTTATGATATTATCTGTAGGATAACAAATGAGACTGATTATATTTGTAATTAGTTTCTTTTACACTATTCATTGTATCATAAAAAAGGGAAACATGTGAAAAAATGTTCAATTATAAAAAATTGTCAGGTAAACAGATGAAATTTATACAAACTCTTTTTGCTACATGTCTATATAACACAACCAAAATGCCATGTTGTATCTATGTACATTCAGGGTAGTGCAAATATAAATAATTGCATAGAATATGAAAAATTAATTTTCTACACGCACATATTCAAATTTCTTATATACAGTTACATATATGTGTCTGTGTACATGGAATTGATCTATTTTGACTATTTATAAAAATTGTAAATAATCTGTGTAATGTAATATATATCTTAATATAATACACATAATAATCTACATTATGATTATAAAATGTTTGCAATATTAGACATGATATTGCATAATTATTTTGCATTTATACTATACAAATATATATATATATATATTTATATGCATTTGCAAATAGTTTGAAAGCATGTAAATGTTTTATATTCTAACATTACAACATTTGTATCAATTTCAAAAGAAAAACCATAGAAAAAAAGATGTATATTATGTACCTGATTGTACAATAACTTTGTTCCCATTTATGTATTGTTTTCATTTAATGATATTGTCTTTCAGATGTCTCTACCTCAATAAAAACTTTTGATATCAAAAAGACTATGCTATGCTATATTCTCTATAGCAGAAGTCAAAAATGTATCACCTTCTTCATCAATTTGAAAACAAATTTCCTCTGGTAATTGTTTTGGCTTAGATTTAAAACCAAAACAATCTTGATCATGACATTTTTGATAAATTGTTTTATTTTTTAAGTTTACAACCCAAAATATATTATTACTTTTATGCCATCTGTCAATATTTTCACAATACCTATTAACAAAAAAATAATGTTAATTCTATTACTAGTTTTATAATTTTATTATTATATATAAAAAAATTATATATACCTATATCCCAAAATTTCATATACCAATATTTTTACATCTTCAAAATATTTACATAGACGTATTTTTCCAGGATATATCATACTGTGAATATATTTATCCAACATTGGATATTTTGAGCAGACATTATTTTTTTCTTCATAATTATATTGAAGTATTTCTTCTTTGAAACATTTTGTATTTACAGCACCACTTTGTAAACATTCTAATAATATTAAATCTTTCTTCGTAACAAAATAGGATATTAAAGAATCTAAAAATATGTTTAATTCTTTATCATTAGTTGTATTGAATGGAATATATTGACAATTATTGGCGATTGTTAGATTTGATTGTTTTCCCCATTTGGTAGATTTATATATTCTAAAATGCCTATTTTTAGTGTAAACCGAAGTATCAACAAATAATTTTCTGTCTTTTTTCGTTTTAACAATCAATTGTTCAACTAGCGATCTATCGAAACAACTTAAAATATTATGTTCTTTTTCCTTAAACGTAATATAATGCAATATATCATTACATACAGATTTTACTAATTTACCGACATGGTAATTATCTTTAAAAGCTATATTTTTAATATTAAATATAACGTGTCTGCTGAATTTTTCGTTAGTACTTGAATCTAAATTAATTACATTATATCTATTGCAAGGTACACGCCATTGTTCAAGTAGATACGCACAGAAAATATCGATTAACATATTTGTCATAAAAGGACCATTTTTTTCCGAGTTTATTTCGATCGAATATTCTAAGTCCAGATACAATCGGCAAGGATGATTTTCAGGAATTACCTGGATGAAATTTATTGCGTTATTTTTACGTATATTTTCTTTAAATACACAAATGAAATATACCTCATAAGAGCATCGTCTTTCTTCTGATCGATGCTTGTAATACCACCAATATATTTCAGGATGAGCTACTACAAATTTACGACAACCATTGTCTTTCTGATAAACAAAGGTACAAAGCATATCATAATCATTACTCTCTTTCGAAGCCATATTAAGTGCATCCATTTGTTTTTTAAATTCCATCCAGAACATAGGTGGTTTTAAAATACTCAATGGCATTTTTGGAGATTTTTTCAGTAATTCATTATTGGATTTTCGTTTTTCAATATCCTGTAATTTAGTAATTGTTTCGACATTATAAAATTTATTCGTATTGATAACGCTCATATTTAATTTCTTCTTGAAAACTTGAATAAACAAAATTTAGCCTAAGTATCGAATAATATTGTTTTGCATCAAAATATATTCACGAACTAGGCAGTTTAAATGAGATGAAACCACATATAATTTTTCGGAACGTATCTATTTGTCCGTTACTAACAAAGACAAATAAATTATTATATATTTTTAAGAAAGATTTTAAAACTTTTTAAAGATTATTAAATTATGAATATCAGATATTAATAAAATTAATAAAAAATTAATTTCATACAAATTTATATTTTTTTTTTATATCCTTTTTAGAAACTATTACAATTCATGACTTAAATTCATGAAAATTGTACTTAAAGTATTTGAAATACATATTGATTTAGTTATTGTTTTAACTGTAGAATAACAATATGAGTATTAATTAGAATTTAAATCCATACCATTCAAAATATCGAGAAATAAATATTTTCTTAGCAATTCCTACAACAATTCATCGATCAGAATCGAATTGGTTGGAATCGAAGTTTTCTCTTTTTAATAGATACATCGTTTGTATGAATTCATTATTATTTATAATAATAAGTTTATAAAATTTATAAAAAAAGATATAAAATAACTTTTTTGTTAAAGATTCTTTTAAATAGAAATTTATTTTTATTTTTATCTTTTTATTTGCAGCATCAAAGATTAATTAAATATTTAAAAATTAAGAGGTTTGGATTAGTTTTCGATATATATTGTATATATGTCATGCAATGTGGAGTTAACATATTATCAGAATTATGAATTACTGTAAGATTCGACGATATTATATAAAATAAAACAACTAATTAATAAATAAAAAAAATGTGATATGTAAGTATGAAAAATGCAGATTTTTCAATATGATGTCTAAATCCATGATTCTTTTTCAAGATAAAAGTGATGAAAGAATGAATATTTAACGGAGTTGTATTCGCCTAAAATGAATGGCATTAAGTAATTAATCAAAGTTGTCGAAGAAAATGTGAGAGGAGGTGAGTGAATAGCTTTCGATAGCTATTATCAATCGACGCGATAGAAAATCAGCGATAACACGACACGAGCGAGAACGAGAAGTGGGTGTTTGCGACTGGCTAATGCGATTTAAGATCATCGAACGGAATTGTCAGTACTTTTTAGAAACTTGTTTCGAATTCTCGGGTCAATCTCGCGCCACTTCACCGACAAAGTGAAACAGAAGGGTGTAATAGTAACGCGAGCCGCCAAATTCACTTTCGCTGCTACTTCGATCGATGAAACTGGAAATTTGGATCGGACCGTATCATTTCTGATGATCTTATACTAAGTGCCATTTATTCAAAATATTTAAATATTATTAAACAAGAAGAGTTTAAAAATAATTAGAGAGTGCTAAATAAATCGCATCGCGGTTTCTTCAGGATTGGAATGTTTCGAATCGTCGAGTCCGGATAATTGGTTCATCCTGATCGACGGCGTAACGATCGAAAAAAGAAACTAGAGGGCGGAGATTCACGAAGAAAAGGATGGACTCGAAAAGGGGAATCGTTGGTCGTATAATTCGACCCAGTAGCGAAACAGTGATGAACGAGGTTTCGTCGTTTTCGTTCAAGTGTTCGGAATAGCAGAACGATTCAAAGAAGAAAAGTATACGAAACGTGAATAAAGGAAGAAGAGTCGTATAGAGGAACGTATCACATACATGGGTACCAATTGGATCATCGCATTGACGATCGCCTGGCTAACGTGTCCGGTGAATGGGAAAATGACTTGTCGTGAAGTACAACTGGCTCGTGACTGCGAAGCTCTTTGTAAAGAAAATCATTACGGTAGCAGTACCTGTGAATTGAGAGTAGCTCTCCTTTTACCAGCTGATCCAAGCTTTGATATAGCATTGCCGAAAGTTCTTCCAGTTCTCGGTAAGTTTTCCTCGGATCGTCATTATATTTCTTACCTTCATAGTAATACTAGCAACAATACTCTTTGTCTCGAGAGTTGTCATTGATTCAATTTATAGATTTGGCCGTCTATAAAGCCAAAAAGGGAGGTCTTTTACCTTCTTGGTTGAAATTAAAGTTTCTTTCGCAAGACGATCATTGCGACGCGACGTACGCCCAAATTGGCGCGATCGATAGCTTCTCGAATTGTGTACATTTGTTCCTCGGCCCTGCTTGCGATTATTGCGTAGGTAAGTATCGTATACTATCGCGGATCTATCAACAGTTTCATATGTTCAAAAGGAAGTACGATTTTTTTAATTCAGCGGCCGTTGGCAGAGTGGTAAAATTCTTCGGTGCGCCGTTAATTACTACCGGTGGATTCACCTTCGATTTTACGCAAAAGAAAACAGAATGCAAAGACGAATACTTTATGACGACCCGAGTTGGAAATTTGGCCTTCAGGGATCTCGCCAATTTCTTCATCGCTTTGATGAATCGGTAAATGGAAGAAGAATCAGCTAGAAAATCAGCTGGAGAGAATGAATTTGAAACCGATTCACAAACTTTTGCGTTAGCTTCAGCTTCGATAATTTGTAACGTTACCGCAGATACGAATGGCGGAAAGTGCATCTGGTCTACGCGACTAACGGGCAGAGTCAGCTCGCCGGCAGACACACTTGTCAGCTAATGATGAAGTCCATGGTAGAGTTTATCAAGAAGCAGCCAAACTTTACGTTCGGCACGTTCGATGTCGAAACCACCGTCCCTAAAGATTATCCGGAGGCGTTGCAAAATCACGTGGGCAATTGGTACGGTGGTAAGTTAGTCGAGCATTTTCTCTCTTTTTACCGACTTGACGAGAATCTTTGACCATAACCTCTCCGAGAGTAACCGTCGCTGTTAAGTACCAACATATATATCGAAACATACATCATCTTTTGACACGCTTCGCGTATCATCGGTCAATATTGTAAACGTTTATGCAAATGCGTTTCCGCGAATGATCATTGGAGTACCAATACGAGAAATATCTCTGTCGAAATTTCAACGTTCCTTCTGATCTTTCCGATGCATGTGAATAAACACGATACGACGATTTTAAACGAAATCGTACGAGAAACAGATGCAAAGACGAGAAAAGACGCATATCACATTTCCGTGTATATATATACCTACACAGTAAGTGAGATAAAAACATAATTGAACCGCGCACTTTTTATCTTGATGCTTCGACTTTGAGTACACTTTTTATCATGGTAGCTGAACGGGGCTGTTACATCGACGAATCAACATCGTTAAAAGGGAACGATTTTAGCGGATATATCTTGCATAACAATGAGTCATGATAATTTAACGCTTTTGTACTTTGCATATCAATGCAAATGATATGTAAATTTTTACCGACACATCTTGTCATTATTGTTCTATTCATTTGTTCGGTCATTGTCGCGATTTCATTTCTCATCATTTTCATATTTTCTTCGTGTTCAATCAAGAAAATGAGGGAAATAGAATTACGATCATCGATCTCATTGTTCGTATCAATAATTAAAGTTGATGTTATCACATTGTTTCCTATGCGTGTTATCACGACCTTATCATCAGTGAGACATAGCATTTCTATTATTGCTCTGTTACGGTACGATATGAGATGGACGCGTCACAACATCTATATTTAAACGTTTTCTTAACAAATAACGTAAAAAAAACATACACGCGATTGATATCCATTTAAAGTGTTACAAGGCTTCATCGATCGATCTTTCTTATCCTAGTCAATGTTCTCTTTTCACCGTTTACCAGTTAATCATGATATACGAGTTTCTAAATTTCATATTTAAACGATAACTCGCCCTAATAATCTTGTTACTTCTGTCGATAAGGGACATACCTTTCGTCGATAATGCAAATCATTTTTCTTTCGTCGATAAGTTGTATTCATTCTTATTTATTGAAATCAAAATAGAAGAACAGGTTGCAAAAAAGAATAGATTTTTCAGCGATTATGATAATAACGGTACAATTATAAAATAAAATTTTGAAAAATATGAAGCATTAATATCATATGAAAGAATGAGAGAACGAATGGGACGCATGCGTTCTTGACCTTCTCCTACCTATCTTCGATGGAATCGGCGCAGCAAGGTGTAGCGCGGACTTCTATCCTTGGTGCGTGGTTTCCACCAGAGGGGTGAAGCGGAAAATGAGAGAAGGACAGAAAGGGAGAATCGTGAAAGAGAAAAAGAAACAGAACGATCGTTCAGCATCGGTGGAGGCGCGATTCAGAGTAAAGCGGGAGGGCTTTGGAGATTAGCTCAGTTTCATCGTGGGTCCAAGCTCGCTCGTTTCGTCTGCAAATTTTCTTTCTCTTCGAAAGAAATCACACTGTGCGTTTTTAATTGTAATATCGATGCGTGACACGTATTCGGGAAAAAAAGAAGAAAAATCAGAAGAGACCGTGTATATGCGTGTACACGCGTGTTGTGCGTTTGCCCGTGTGAAAGAAAGAAGAAAGAAGCGCAAATTTCGATTCTTTAATCGGATACAATTTTCATTAAAATTCGTTTAATCAACATGGCCAAAGGTTCGCGCGCAAACTTTTCTATTATACGGTCGTATTTCTCATGCGCGCGCAATCATCGCACTACGCATAGTAAAGTGTACCATCGTATAGATAGATTTCGATTCGCAATTATATATCGATTATCATCGATTAATTGATTTTCGATAGTAACGGTAGAAAATCGTTGTAGCTATCGATACTTTTGTCGCGACATAAGGATTTTAAACGGTTAATAAGAAGCGAATATGGAATGTTTGAGTCAGAAAAAAATAAACATGGACGAAAATGAGTTTCAAAGAGACAGCGTTCGTCGAGGAATGATTGGACACGAACGAAAGTAATCGGATTCGAATGTCGTCCGTGAGCAATCGATCAAAGCGGAAACGAGATGCAAAAGCGCGGAAGCGATTTATCGGTGCAGTTGATTTTGTTTCTGACGGCGATGTTTGCTAGTGCCAGTGTAAATAATATCGTAATCGAACAACGGGCGAACGAGTGTATCGAAACACGGTTACCATTCAAAACAGAGGTGAAACTGGCAGTGATAGCGCCGGCCGATTTTCATCACGAACAAAGCTTGCCGCGGATACTGCCAGCTGTTCTACTCGCGGTTAAGGCAGTTAGCTCTGCGAGAGGACTTCTACCAGGGTGGAATATCACGGTTGATCATCGAAATTCGCAATGCTCCAGCACGTACGGCCCATTAGCCGCGTTCGAGTTCTACATCAACCGGACCGCAGGTCATTCGTCCTTTAATATTTCTTTTTTTTTCCGTTTTCTCGATTTTTCTCGATATCGGCCAATTCGATAAATTCAATTTTCGATAAATTTTCTCAATAAAAATTTCTAAATAATAAATAATTACCGACCGATTCCCTTATCGCTAATTCTATAATTAAAATTGTTTACGAGTGTTTTCTTCTTCGTCATTTCGTTTTTGTTTTATCGCGGAAAGTTGTTATCGAATTACATCAAAAGATTCACGGTTCGAGGTTGACTCGATTCAAACCGATCGAGATCGATCTTATGGATTTTTCAGTTTTGTTATTTCAATTTGTCATTTAAGATAAAAAATTATAACGGAATAAACGGTTTCAATGATGTGCTTAGATTCATTAGCAAATCGTAGAATTAAAAATCATCAGACTGATATCACGTTCTTTGTGTTCGTCCATTTTTCATCGATTATTGGACCGCGTCTCTCGTCTGATGCTCGCTTTTTCCTTTTCTTTTTTTCCTCTGCCACAGAGGAGATCGTTACATATCTCTTCAATTCCATTTAATTGCTTCTCTACTGGTACAAGATCATTGTCTCTGTCCCCTCTTTCTTTTTTTTTTTTTGGTCTACCGCCAATTAACTGAATCGTCGTCTTTTTTCGCGATAACCATCGAGGCTGAATCGTTCTCTCGGTTAAACGAATATTAACGGTGTCTTTTTCTTTTATCCAACTATTCTTCATATCGCGCGACGATCGTGTTAAGCTGTGTTTACGTGACGAGAAGCAGTAAAGCGGTCTCGATTGAACACGCGGGAATCATCAGCGGTGACCGTTTTTCTTTTCACACACGACACACGTGTACGTATGCACGAATATATTCAACTCCATCTTTTCAAACGCGCTAATTGAAATTTCTATATTCGACGTAAATTCTCGATCATCGTATCGATCGAATGAAAAGATCTTTACGAGGAATTATTCTTTTTTCTTCTTAACGCTAATCGCATCAAGGGTCGCATTCTCTCATCGCATAAATTTTTCAACACGATAATTTATTTCATGATTCTTCGCGCGTATTGTATCGTATCTTTTCTCCCAGTTTTCTTTCCAACATTTTTTTAATCCAACTGAATGTAATGTGCGTGCTTCGACTTATAATTTCTGCAATTTCTCCCGTTTCGTTTTTTTTATTCGATTCTCACGTATTTTTCGTTGGCGCATAATAATGTTAATAATATAGAAACAATAACAATATTGTGACAATATTGTATCAATAATAATTATTCGTCTTCGATACTTCGATATCCGAACCCACCCGATTTCTTCCGAACTCATCCGATTAGTTACGAGTTCATCCGATTTTTTTCAAAGTTGGCCCGATTCTTCCCGAACTCGCCCGATTCCTCCCGAACTCAGCCGAAGTATCGAAATACATCCCTTATGAACCTCGATCCATAGTAACTAGATTGGGAACAGTAAGGAGAGTTTTAAACGCGGTTTGAACGAAAATTTTATAATTTGTTCAGATGCTTTCTTCGGCCCTGTATGCGACTACGTGATAGCACCTGTGGCCCGATACGCCGGCGTATGGGGTATCCCCGTGTTGACCGCAGGTGCTCAGGCCGAAGCGTTCCGTTACAAGAGCGAGCATTATCCAACGTTGACCAGAATGATGGGTTCTCATCGGCTGGTAGGCGAGGCGCTCAGACATATCTTGGTGCGATTCGGATGGAAAATCGCCGGTCTGCTTTATCACAATCACGCGATGGCCAGCAGCCGTGGCAATTCGGAATGCCACTTTACTTTGGGCGCTGTTTTCACGGCCCTCGGTCAAACGTCGGTTCACAAAAGTTTCAACCAGGAAATGACCACTGTCGAAGATTATCGAGATTTGCTCGCTTTTCTCGCGAAATCCGCCAGAAGTAAGTTCAGATTAGATAAGTTTAGATTTTTCCCCTCCCTCGATTTATTCCCAAAGGATTCGTTAAACGCGAATATCGCTTGGGAACATTTGTATCGCGCATAGAGATAGCCTTATTCTCCTTCAGTTTAACTGTTCCAAAAAAAAAAAAAAAGAATCGATTCTTTCGATAGAGATAAAATTGTCGAAATTTTAACATCATGGCCAGAATTTAACGAATTTTTAACCATTTTACGAGCATATCTTTTTATCCGATGCGGGGAAGTAACGGCGCGACGGTTAAAATTGGCAGAGAGTCTCGTCTCGCGGAATAAACGGGAACGCAGATAGAAAGATAAACAGGTTTTTTTTTTCTTTTTCCTTCGTTTCAGTCGTGGTGATGTGTGCCAATTCGACGACCATCAGAGAGATCCTTTTGGCCGCGGAACAGCTTGGAATGGTCGATTCCGGGGAATACGTGTTCTTTTCCATAGAACTCTCGTCCAGGTAACAACTCGTGAACCAACCAACGGTCTCCCCTCCCTCTCGATTCTCGAGCCATTAAATTTCGACCGCAAACCGCACCGCTCGAGTTCACATGCGCGTTGTTAAACCATCGATTGTTAAACCCTCTCGAAAAAATTACAAAACGTATAATTTCGTGTCGAAATTAAATTACAAACGAAGTTCAAAATGTCACGTGAATATCTGATTGTTTCAGCGATAACAACTCGAAGGAGCCATGGAGGGTGGAGGGCGACACGGAGGAAAGGAACGAAAAGGCGCGGAAAGCTTATCAGGCGTTGTTAACGGTCACCGCCCGAACCCCCGACAATATCGAGTATTTGAATTTTTCGCGAGAGGTGAAGGCGCTCGCGCAAAACAGATACAACTTCACTTTCGGCACCAACTCGGTCTCCACTTTCGTCACCGCGTTCTACGACGCGGTCATACTTTACGCCCTTGCGCTTAACGAGAGCTTGCCCAAACATCCCGGCAGAGTGAACCTGGACGGCGGTGATCTCACACGGAAAATGTGGGGCAGAAGTTTCAAAGGTGTGCTGCGACCATCTTCTTTCAATCTCCTTTCGCGACTACAACATGTTGTACGACGAGCAATTAGACGTATCCTTCTCTGGAAACGTAGCATAGATATTTTGTTTCTTTTTCCAATAAACACCTGTCGAAAAGCATCGAAGAGTTGCCGCTGACGATCTTTCTTCCCGAGCGCGGTGCGCATTTTTGGTTGTTCAAGAAAAATAAGATTTTAACTCGTATTTATATTTAAGAAGGTTACCAATCGAGTAACAAGAGAATGTAATTATATCGTACGTATATTTACATGAGTAAAGATGTAAGATGGCGACTATTAAAAGAAATTTAATGGAATAATCGCAGAATTTGAAATTTAAGAAGAATAGAAACAGAAAAGAGGGACAAGTATGATCTGTTATCACTCTGTAAACTTTTAAATCTAAAATTATACCGTAACACAGTGTTGTTACGAATTTCCACCGATAATATACAGAGCTTAGTTGAAGTTGGACAGGCCAATTAGAGGCTTATACTCAAACCGGAATACTTAAGATCGACTTTGGAAAGTCTTCTAACGGTTAAAACGGACGAGAAGTAGAAGTAGATGCATTGAGAGCAATTGATTCGGATGATTAATAAGAAGCGATATATATATATATATATACCTCAACTAAATTAACTTATTCTAAAATATAGAAAATAAAAGTATCAAAACTACTTTGGTTTACGTTCTAGCTTTCCAACACTAACACTTGGGCCCAGAAAATTTCAACTGAACCACGCTGGGCCCAAACGAACGTGTTAAATTCTCGTAATCATTCCATCCATCATCGAGCCGCAGGCTATCGATTGTTTTGGTTATAGGTATAACTGGAGATGTGAACATCGACGAGAACGGGGATCGAATAGCGGATTACTCCCTTCTCGACATGAATCCAGAAACGTCCAAGTTCGAGGTAAAATAAATAGATAAATAAATATCGGAGGTTCCTGTTAATTGCATATTTCTGTGTATAGATCGTGGCCAATTACTACGGTGCCAATAAGACGTTGCAATACGTTGCTGGGAAACGGATTCATTGGTCGGGTGGCAGATCAAAACCGCCACCTGATACGCCCACTTGCGGTTTCGACGGCTCCCTGTGCCCTGATAATAGTAAGTCCTTTCGACAATCTACTATGTATAAAGGTGGATCATATTCATCACGCTTCTTCTTTTACTCCAGCTCTTCCAGGATACGCGATTCTGTCGATGGTGTTGAGCTCTATCGTCGTCTTCCTCTTCGTTGGCTCGGTGTTCATATACAGGTAAGGCGTAGCAGTAGATTAATCGATCGAGCTTGCCTATTTCTGAATCAAGAAACAGGAATTGGCCTCGTTTCTTCTCTTCCTCGCCTTTTCTCCCCGCCCTTAATCCTATTAATTTCGAGATGTGGATACAGTGAGAATCGAAGAGACGGTTGAGCTTTCGTTATGGCATCGAACGATTGCGAATCCTTCCTTCTTAAATTCTTTATCCACATGCGAGAAGCGTGTGAAAAAAAGTTATTCTCCTTTCTTTCCTTATTTTCAGGCACTTTAAGCTCGAGGCGGAAATAGCTTCTATGACGTGGAAGGTGCACTGGAACGATATTATCTTCGTGCCGAACGCGAAAACCCGGGGCTCCATGTTTTCGTTGATCGCGAACAAGATGCGCGGTAGCCAACTGGTGAATGAGAAATATTACCTCCACTTTGTGATAAAACGGCCGTTTTATGAATATGAAATTTTTCGTTTAAAAAGAAAAATGCTCTCAGCGCTTGGAGTGCTCCTTAATGAGTGCTCCTTATCAATTATTTATCAACTCTTTCGAAGCTGTTTCTTTTTCTTTTCAAATAAGTGAGAACGTAATTTTAAAAAATCTGCTCGAAATTATGAAGCTTCGTTTGAAAATAGAAGAGAAAAAAAATGGGAAAACGAGTATAGCGTATACGCTTTTACGCGTGGAAAATTTTATATCGAATTTTTGGAAGGATTTTAGAAAGAAAATACGAAAATATATATTGTAAATAGTGTAAAGAGAAGCGGATAAAATGCTTGGTCGAAAGTTTCTTTTATATAGCCGTTTGGATCGCGTAAATAAGATCGCGTATGAGAGAATATTTTACGATATTCTTCTTACGATATTCTTTACGCGATGGAGAGAAGGCGTTTTAAATCCAATTCGTAGCGTCAATCAAAACGAAACGTCATTTTCTTTCAGACCATATACTCGGACGAAAATATCAGTGTGCCAGGTGAAGTAGACAGAAACGTCTACATTCCAACCGGAATTTACAAGGTTCGACCTTACTGATGGTAAAACGACGTGTCTTAAATTCTCTAAATACTTTATTGCGCGTATCATTCCTTCCTTTCTTCTCTTCTCTCTTTTTGCCTTCCATTATTAATCTTTTTCACTCGCGGATCGAATAATTAGCGAAAAGTAATTAACGTTTCACATAATGCATAATACGTAATACGATTCGCCGCAGAACTCTACAGTGGCCATAAAACTTATACCGAGGAAAAAGGTGGAGATCTCGCGGCCTTTGTTGCTGGAATTGAAAAGGGTGAGTTTTTCTAAATTTCCCCCCTCCCCCCTTTTTTTTTTAAACGTCCCATCAAACGGGAGGAGGAACTTTCAAAAGTTTTTCAAGAAATTTTTATCGAGACGATAATCGGGTAGTAAGTTGCGCCCAATCTCAAACTTAATTCTCGATCTTACTTCTTTTTGCGCGCACAGATGAAGGATCTTCAACACGATCACCTGGTACGATTTTACGGCGCGTGCATCGAACCACCGTATTGTTGCCTTTTGACCGAATATTGCCCGAAAGGATCTCTCCAGGTTGGTCCATAAATTTTCATTACACGCGTCCCGCTTAAATCGCGCTCTAATTTCCTTTTCGCAACTTGTGAAACTCGTATATGCTGAAATACGCTTGTAACGAGGGGTTGCACACGAAGAAGGGAATGTAACAAAGTTGTTGATACGAAAGTTAGCCGATAAAAGCAGCTGGCCGTTAATACACGTACACGCACATGTACACCCATCTCACGATCCGCGGTGAGATAGGTGTGTGTGCGCGCGCGCGTGTGTGAGTGAGTGAGTGAGTGAGTGAGTGAGTGAGTGAGTGAGTGAGTGAGTGAGTGAGTGTGTGTGTGTGTGTGTGTGTGTGTGTGTGTGTGTGTGTGTGAGAGAGAGAGAGAGAGAGAGAGAGAGAGAGAGAGAGAGAGAGAGAGAGAGAGAGAGAGAG